TCAATATATTTTGGATATTAACACAAATTTCCAGCCAATAATATCAACGCAACGTCAAGACATCATGCAAGAGCGGGAGCACCATGCACGTGACCCTAAATACGCAGGACACTGGAATTAGAATATTGCCTTATTCTTTCCTGGCAACAGGTGATGTCAAAATAAATTGCAACATTGGCATCCGGTAGCCAGCAGCAATGTGCAAGGAGGGATAATTAACGCGGCTCTAATGAGAGCTGTGCGGTGACATTCAAGGTCAACGCTGTGGGGCTACAACGTGGCCGCTTGCCGCTGGGTCGGCCGCTGGATCCTGGGAACACTGACGGTCCATTTTCAGAATGGACGTTCCTCTGCACGGCCCCTGGAGGTGTTTGCAGTCCTGGACCTCCCCTGTCCCTAACACACTCCCGCCGTCCCTGATAGCCCAGCGTAACTTCCCTACATTTCTTGGCTGCATCTCTAAATACCCTGAAACTCCCCACACAGCCCTTTACAGCAATGCAGTCTATTGCTGATCCCTAAAGCCCCTGGCTCTACCTACCGAATCATCCCACATTCCCACACAGCCTCGTCCTGCAGCCCGTGGCCCTCCCTGCAGCCCCTCACCGACCCTCTCACCTCCCTGCAGCCCCTCACCGCCCCTCGCAGCTCCCTGCAGCTCCTGACCCCGGCACTGACCCTCATGTAAATGATGATCGCCGCGATACAGACTCCTATGGACTGAATCAGGTCACCGAGCACGTGGATGAATGCGGCTCGCACGTTGATGTTGACATTCTCCTCAGACCCGGCAGCGTCCTGGTTTAGCGCACAGCCCATGCTGAAAGCAACGGCAGCCGAGTTAGACAGTGATGAGGTAAGATGAATAAAGTTTGTTGATGGCCATGTGCTCGGACGGACGGCGCTTATGTGGAAGAACTTATCCCGTTCGGTCCTTGTGAAGAGATGTAGTTACAGGTAAGTGTAGTAAAACGTTTGATTAAATAATTTTCACCATCAACGACACGATTCTTCGCTATTTGATGCTTATTCTGATGGATGGTAAAATGTATCCGCCCAATTGATAGTGACCAGCAATAAATCACTTCTGCTCGCTCCCTTAACAAAGTAAAAACCGGTCAAGTAGGCCCTGATGTGGTAGCAATGTAAGAAGCACACACTACAATTAGGTAAATTGGGTTGTGGTTGTAATACAGCCTCGTTAAATATGATCAAGGAAGAAAGAAACAACAGTGAACTGGCAATCAACATTCGCACAATAGCTACTGGAAGGCCTTCAAAACCGACGGACATTGAGATGGCAATTATTATTGATGCCAGCATAACTACTTGCTTCCCTCCAGTCCCGACTTTCAGCCGGTTAGCGTTATAACACCGATCCCCTGAACCCTCTTGACGTCATCACTGTCACCAATGACGTCACTAGGCATTGCACCACCGCCACCACGATCCCCACCGACGTCATCACTGTCCCAGTGACGTCACCACCTGGGCACCTACATGATGTTGATGATGATGCCTGCCACGCTGGTTCCGACCATGACGGGGGCGTTGATTTCGTAGTCGGGGTTGAGCAGGCGGTCGACAGCCATGTCGACCAGGATGGCTGTGATGATCCAGATCAGAAGCACCGAGATGAGAGCGCCCATCACCTCTGCCGAGCGCGGCAACGGGTCAGGTCGGCACTCAGCAGGTCATAGGGCACAGCGAGGTCAGGTCAGCAGGTCGTGAGGCATAGATTAGTCAGCTAGGTGGATCATGGATCACAGGTATAGGCCAGATCAGCAGGTCATGGTTCAAAGGTAGGTCAGGTCGGTGGGTCATGGGAGGATAAATCGTTGGATCACGGGTCACAAGACGGACATGTCGTTGGGTCACAGGTCACAGGGAGCTCATGGGGACAGGTAGGTCAACTCCGTCGGGGTCACGAGTCGCAGGCAGGTGGTAAGACCATATGATCCAACACGACCAGGTGATAAGACCAGATCCAACCCGACCAGGTGATAAGACAGTGTAAGTACCATATCACGTCTGGCCAAATTACCTCAGCCGGAGGTCGTAGGATTGTCATAAATGAGTCACTTCAGCAGGCTTTGGGCCAGACGTAGAGGTGGTGCACAGACCTTTTCATATCTGAGCAGTGAGAAGACTGGGGTTGTATGATAACTGTTCCCAGCGAGGAAAGAGGCAATTGGAAATATCAGAGGCAATTTAAGGGGCTAAGGTAAATAGAGAGCCATTCTCAGCAGGAACGGGCATTAAGATCACAGGTGCCGACTGCCCAACATGACGTCATCTCCTGCCCCGTCCCCGTAACGCCACCTGATGTTGGGCAGTGAGCTCAGAATAAACTGTAAGTACGGGGCAGTTGAGTGAGGTGCGGTGAAGAGGCCTTATCAGGGGGCGCCTCGAGGTCGAACGTCGGCAGAGCGAACTGCCTCGATAGCCTGTCGATCGGCCTATCGCAGAGATTGAGGAAAAAGCCGAGGGAGACGGAGTTGTGCACCGTCAGTGTGCTGATAGTCTTTTTGTTTATGGTGTATGCTTGACCGAACATTGACTTTTGTAGGAACATATAAATTAGTGAAGGTTATGGTCTTATGGATGTGACACGGATCAACAATAACTGTAATGCCTACCAGCAATAGGGATAACGAGCTATGGTTAACACAAATTTAATTTAAGAGCAACGGTAAAAAGGTTTTTTACAAGACTGAAATACTGAATAATAAACATTAAATGAGATATTACAAACATGAATGCGTCTGTACTCCGCATTCATCAATCATCTCTCCAATGACTCATCATTGAAATGTCGAAATATCTAAAATACCAAGGTCGGACCATGTGCCAGCAAAAGAGCAACGTTCAAAAGAAACCTTTTGCAGACCTTTTGCAATGAAAATGAATAGGTATCAGTTTGCTTTTTTTTTTGCTCCATTGTTAGTTTTAGCTTCTTGTTTATTTTTTATGGGGAGGGGGTCCAGCGCATAGCTGAAAGAGTAACAAATGATGATACATTTTCTCTTTTTTTTTGTATTGCTGACGACGCCGATAACTGATCCTGAGTGATATGATGTCAGCGCGGCCCCTGCCTGTGCTATCACTGCTCTTTGACGGAGCAGGTTTTTATCAGTATTGCGCAATGGCGCCAGTACACGCCGATCACACGTGATCGAATCGAATTCGTGACGTCACACCTGACATTCATTCTGTCATTCACTCTGGTCAATATTTATATTTACAGTGCTACTGCACGGTGTAATGCCGGTACCTATATATCATATCTATTATGCTTATGCAGTTATAGTAAACACTAAACATATGTTACCAAACCAAAATGGACGAAAACACATATAACAGGTCTAATAATAGTAGGTATCCTTGAAACCGCGAGGGAGATTTCTAAAACAGAAGTGGTCTGACAGACAGGAAAACTTGTCAGATTGCGTAACGAAATGCGTATACTGTGGCACGCTGCCAAGGTTGCAGGCTGTAAAACACTTAAAATGGCCTTTCTATCCTATCTATTGAGGCAGCTTTTGTGTGTATCCACTGCCGTACTTATTAATAGTGCTCCACTGGCTTGTTTTCGTGTAAGGCACTTCCATATAAGCATATCGATGCTGCCGTAAAATGTCCTCTGTAGCGTCCGCTGTTGTTCGTGCTGCAGCCGACTGGTCGCTCCCTCTTAGTTATATAACCACGGAAGGTCGGTGGGCCAGGTAGCTGGTCAGTGGCGATGGTCGAGCCGGCAGAGGCGGTGGAGCGGGCCTCGACCGGCCGGGGGCTACAGTGACACACAGTTTGGGAGTTTGGGCGGCGTGCAACGCAGTCTGGTAGTCTGGGGGTAGCGGGTCATACAGTCTGGTAGTCAAGGGGTAGCGGGTCACATGCAGTCATGAGAGCAGTGCAGGTGGCGCAGATTGGATTTGATCTGAGGCAGCGGGTAGCATTACGTAGGACTGGTCTGAGACTGCAACACCTGGGCTGGGACTAGGAAGAATATGAGGTCTCTGAGACAGACACACATGTATACCATGGGGTGGTCTGAAGCTGACAGATAGTCACACAAAGAGTCGGATACCGCGGGTGACACAGACTGGGAAGGGGTCTGATACCGCCGGGCGGACGAACTCAAACTGGGTAGGTTATGAGGACGAAGCGATTAAACGTAACTTGTAACCGCACTCGCAAGGGTGTGAGACTGCTGAAAAAGATGCACAGTCGCAGACTGGGAAGGCCTTGAGAGTGGGGAAAGCTGTCCAGTACGGAGGGCCACCCACATCGGGGAGGTTCCGGGGACTGCGACCCTGTTCTCCGTGGCTGTTGAACAAGATGTCACCATTTTTTTTTTCATTTTGTTACTTGGAAGGCAGTCCCAATTTCAAACCGTAGCATGTATTGTAATTCATACCAGTTGTTTTGATTTCAAAGCACTCGGAAGGAGCAGAAAACTGAATTTTAAGTAGGCATGTTTTTAATCCTGAATGGAATTGACAGTCAGCTTCAGAAGGGGCTAAACGATGTCGCCTTTCTTCTTGCCTATGATCGTTAGTGAGTTGTGTCACGTCCTCATTATGGTCCTATCGGCCATCTCACGTGGAGACCCAGCCGTTCCTTAACGTCCGCAGACGTCCAAGGCCACGTGATCTGTATGTGTGCAGCCAGTGGACACCTTTATTTCTCTATAGAGATGGCCCGCTGTAGTCGAATTCAGAACTAAATTTGGCCAAAAAATATGCTTATAATTGATAGCTCAGGATTTTAGACATGCATGCTCTGGTCTTTGGTCATTATTGTCAGGAAATAGCTAGTTTAAATGCACATTGTGAGTGGTAGCGGCGGCATAACAGCTCGATCACACAGCAGATTCGTTAGATGTTTGTTTCAACCTGAAATTGCTTTATGAGGCACATTAACACAAAGCATGCACATCTGAAGACATGAAAGGACGGCCATCCATATTAATGAAGTGAAGGCATCTAGCGTTACGTGAACGAGTGGGCACTGTGCAGCACGCTCCTTGCCTATCCGGACTGGACAGCTCCCAAATCCCAGTGATGCCATTGTTTTCCCGTTGCCAGCGACAGGCTACGCTCGGTGCGGACGGGATACCCTGAGGGTCCCGGTGTCCTTGGAACGCGCAAACCGCCCGCCCCCACCCGCTGACCGGTCCTGGTTCCGCCCCTTCTCTCCAGCCGGCGGTCAGTGTCCCACCTGAGTCCACACGGTCCGGCTGGTACGCATTTCACCAACCTAGTCCACACAGCAGGATGACGGTCAACGTTCCACTTGAGTCCACACAGCAGCTTGGCCGGTCCACATGTTACCACCCTAGTCCACATGGCAGCTCTAACCGGCCCATGTTCCACCCGAGTCCATACGGCAGCTCTGACCGGTCCGCATTCCACATTTGACCATCCCAGTCCACACGACAGCACCTGTCGCCGCTGTTGGTAGGTGGACATTCCACTCCAACCCACACGGTAGCTACTAGCTACCGTAATCGTTTGGCATCTCCACGCTGCAGCCTGCACCTTCAGAGTTCAGTGCACGCTGCCGCCGCCTCCCCGACTTTCTCCTCTGGCGCCGCCCCTGCCCTCTGCCATGTCTGCCTCGCCGGCCGGGTCGGCCGTCCATCCTGGCCCGTCCCGACCCGTACCGTATCTCTCCGACAATCCATCGCGCCGGCCTCCTCATGTATGTAAGAACTCCCGCCCGAGGGTCGACCCCGGTCTGACGCTCACCTGCGCGCCGCCATCCGAAGCTCATTCGACTGCTGGGCGGTCGGGCGGCCACGAACAGAGCGCTCAGAGAGACGATGAAGGCGAACAGGTCGGTGCAGAGATGGGCGGCGTCCGTCAGCACTGCGATACTGTTGGAGATGTAGCCGCCTGGGGGAGGGAGAGAGAGGTCGTGACAGCGGAGAGGTCGGTAGACGGCAGGTCAGTGGCTAGCAGAGCTCGTGCAGCTCGTTACGTAGGAGGAAAAGCCGTGTCATCAGCCATTTTGTGCACTGCAGTGTGGACTTCACGTGGTTGGTCCTTGAGCCATCACTTGCCAGTTGACAGTGGTCATGAGCAATGGAAAACATTTTTACGATACGGTGAAGTCTGTCATCGCGTGCATAGCAACGAGGAATGTTGGCCTTCACGTGGGCTTAGCATTACAGCTAGGCATAATTAATGATTATATTACGTAAGGTGATCAGATGTTACTTTACAGCCCGCATTCGCCGGAAAAACTTCACCTATGAGGCATATTACGTAACAGTTTATTGGTTGTGATTACACAACCAATCGCATTTCGTGTCAGATTCCGGAACACATTGATCAGTTCCTTGTGGTGATTTCAGCCTGGAATCACATATAGGTATTCAACAAGGAGGCATATTTTAATTAAACAAACATGCAGATCAGATTGTCCATTAATGTACTGGTTCTTCATATGGAGTCATACAGTTGACATTTTGACAACATGATAAACTGAGATTCATCTAACATGACATGAATACGTAATAACACAACTGGATTTCCTTGCCCTTTTAGAGTAGGGGAGACCCGGGAGGTATGGGCCGGTTTTGTGAAAAGGCAATTTTCTTCCAGTGGGCAGTGGCTAGACCCGGTTTTTCACTCTGTGTACGTGAAATTGCCTTTCGCCTGCAACGTGTGCCTGATATTAGGCATCTGGGATCAACTATTTTGTCTCCAGATAACTTTCAATAAATCATGTGCTTTTTCGATCCATCAAAATAGACCGGGAGGTATGGGCCATGGCCCGGGAGGTATGGGCCGGTGCCATGTTTCAGATTCTTTTCTCGACAATGAGAATAATACTCGTAGCTGGTATCTACCTTGATCTCTCTTAGAGCCCAGGAACCGCATAAGCGGCCAACAGCTTGCTTCATCGAGGTCACTTGGGCTCATATGTATTTTGGTAAACTCAATCATGCACCATGAAATGAGATCAATCATATTTTTATGTTCGAATGAAATTTTAAGTTAAATTTTCGACCTTGCGCGACAAAAATAGAACTTATTGACGGGGACATTCAATGAAAGCATCTTTTTATTTATTTAGGATCACCGGGGGTGGGTGGCCCGAACCTCCCGGTAAGGACGCCATAATGTGCGTAGCATCTCAGCTCATAATCTTGCAAGGTAGCTTCATATTGTCTATCCAGTCTTAAGTTGCATGCTTTAAACTTTATGTTAGCGATGGTCTGACATCATAAAATGAGCCTGGTTCAAATTTATCACGAATTTTCTGTATGTATCGTATTTTACTCGAAGAGGGCAAAAGCGCTTTATCACCGCTCATTGCCAAAAGAAGACTGAGGAAGCTTTTGAAAATCACGTGGGATGCATAACGGAATGGCTGCTACCAGTTAACGCCGTCAAATGTGTAAAAATACGCAACACTTCTTCAAAACTGCGATGGCCCATACCTCCAGGGGGCCCATACCTCCCGGGTCTCCCCTATTTAAAATCAAGTACGAATTAAAACTTGATAGCCAAAGAAAGTGATTTTTTTCTTTGGGTTTAAGTTTGTAGACGACTCGTAGCTCGTAGTCCGAGCTCAGCTCGTGCCTAGCCCGTGATCAGCCCGTGATCGGCCCGTGACAGGTCCGTGACCACCTCGTGACTCCCCGTGACCTTCCCGTGACTGACCCGTGACCTTACCGATAGCCTCAATGAGCATGAAGCAGAAGCAGAGTGACGTGGCGATCAGCAGCTGCTTGGTGGCCTTCCGGTTGACGCCGGACTCTCGCTGGCGGTGACAATGGTCTGGAGGCAAACCGGAGAGAAAAAGAGTGTTATTTGGGAGAGGGAGGACACTGGGAGGAGGGCACGAGTCACATGAACGGGGGCGGGGGCACGCAGGAGGGCAAACGTGTTACAAAGGTGGGTATCGCTGCCGGGCTAACTGAAAACAATCTCCAGAGCAATGCATCGGGCTGACTGAAACTTTGCAGCGGACTGGGGTGGGAACAATGTCCCAGCTTAGTCTGTCCTACCTAACAGTCCAAAGCTGAGGAAGACTTTTAATCCTTACATTGTGCCAAGCTGTCTCTAGTCTCAAAGTCCATCGAAGCTGTCACCACAGTCTGCTACGGCTTCCCACAATTTGTCAGAGATGCATGTCCGACCAGCCTTACCGAATCTCCACTATGTTGAAGGTGCCTAATTTGTCGGAGTCGTTCCATGTACGCCTTCATTAAACTAGCGGATGCGGGGCTACCTCAAAGCCATTCTAACATTCCCGGGTGGCTGCGCCGCCCAGAGCGGACATTTTGCATGCATTAAACGGTCCCGTGCACGGGCTCCATCTAGTCGTGTGAGCTCCCTTCGTTCATCAGGCCAGAGACCGGTTGTGTGGCGTCACGCTGAGGGCGTCACGATAGATGTGGCCTAAAATGAGTTCACTTGTCATATGATCCTCTCCAAGCCCCAAAGCTCCAAGTTCTTTGAAATATTTGGTTAATGGTATAATTTCTATTTATTTCCCATCGATGACAGATTCGAGCTCAAGCCTCACCTAGTGTATTGTGTGAGCACTGAGCAATGAGCATGCTCCTTGTATATTTTATCTTATTAAGTCGGATGAGATGGTAATTGTCACTCTCCTCAGCATTAGGTGGAACATCAGATAAAATTATAAACCGTGGGTACCATGACCATTACGTATTATAGTTGTAGTTAATAAGTATTAAGCAAATGCATGGTCTAATATTTGTTAGAGTTTGTTTGGTAAAGCCGCCGTCCGCGCCTTGGCAATTGGTATAATCCTTTGTGGTTTAAAATAAGCTTATTAGAAGAAAAAGCATACTAATGCATCGCATAACAAAGTCAAAGAAAAAATCAGCCAGCTTTTCTTCTTAACTCTCTTCCCGGTAAACTCACAGGTCCTAACTATTCGGGGTTGGATGTTTGCGCGCCGACTTGTCCACTTCTGCTAAAGTCATTCGGACCGCCACTTCCCCGCCGGGGACTAAATGAGCCCAGCGCCAGAAATAGTAACATTGTGTCACGACCTCGCTAACTATAGAGAGACTGCTCCCAGGCATCCCGTAATCGATGAGAGGGCCAGAATCGACAAAAACGCCCTCCTCGGAGCTTCTTGGAAATCAGACCCTGGAATCCGGGCCAGCGTCGTGCTCAGAGAATACGTGTAGACTGTAGATGGTGGTGTGGCGGCGGACGAATGTCTAAAACCCCGATTTTTTTCCGAAGATCAAGCATAATACATTCCAATAACTACGGTTATTTTAACCTCACTCTTGATTCTACCTCTTTTAGATCAAACGTGGTCATAGACCATTCGGCATCTCAGTTGTTCCCATTTCGAATAGCTAGGTAAATAGCTAGCGTATGGTGCGGTGATGGTGCATGCGATGGAATTTGGATATTCTGATTTTGGCAATTATCTCCTTCTGTTGTAATACAAGCCAGTTGGATAGGCATTATGCGTTGATTAGCCATGCTTCTGCTTATTTTTATCTGCGTTTCTTTCTAGCATGTACGCTTCATCGAAATAACCACATTGAATGCATTTCAGATATATTCGAAAAATCGATATCCATTCAATATAACAAAAATTGCACGTAAAATAATGCATTGCATCATGGTCCAAGCTGATGAAAACCTAAAAACATTTACTACAGCTTCGATTCTTAGTTCATCGATTTGACAAGAGACTGCTCTGATGCGCAGGTATAATTGGAAGCTTGTTTCATATGAAGTGCTCAAAATGACGTCATTCAGACGTTTGAATGAGCCAATACGCATTGCTAAATAAGCGCCAGCACGCATGTGCAAGCGAATGTGATTTCTGATGACGTCGATAAACAGATGTCACTCAAAGCACACTGAAGCGCAGTTACCTGGTTTCAGCTTTGCTCGCTGCGACATGGAACGTCAGATGCAAGGCTGTCGGATGCATGACTTGACAAATGTGAATGATTTCTTGTAAGTAATCGAGGATGTGCTCATAATGCGCGTCACGTAAAATATGACGTCATCATTGCGAAATACCCGCGGCGTATCATTGGAATGCACATGACAGAAAATGAAAAAAAGACAGAAAAGTCACTTTCCAAACGAATGCGTCAATGGAACCAGTTATGGCGTACGTATAACAGTCGTCGAGATAGTAATGGTCTTCCCTCGAGGGAATTTTTGGGATGCTATATCTGGACCAAAGTGCACATGAACAGAGACAAATAACCCCGACGCGTTGCAAGAAGGATATCGTTTTAGCCAGTGAGCTTAGTTATTTCACATTTAACGTGCATGGATGGACCTGTATAGTGTATAGCTACCTATCTCATCTATGTAGTTATTGTAGCAGCGTACCTCGCGGTATACAGTCCAGATTGTATGATGTAGAAGCCTGTAGTTGGGTGCGTGGTCCAGAAACTATACATATAGGAGCTTACCTTCGGGTACATGGTCCAGAATCTGTCTGTAGGAGGTTGGTTTCCAGCAGCATGGCCAGCACCCGGAGCCCGAGTCGGGCTCAACTGGAAATGAAAACATCGATGTCAGTTTCTATAAGGTGTTTCACAGTCTCTGACGCTCCGCCTCGTCAAACCAAGCGTCAAACAGACGTGCATTAAGCGCAGCATGTATGCTGTAACATAGCTCCGATGTATATTGGTGGTGTTTCTTCCAAGAAGTGCAGCAAAAAATATAATGGTGTAGGTATTTACCTAATCCATGTTTTTTTGGCTTAATATGATACCAATTAGCATAAGTCAGCCATGATTGACGATACCGCGTCTTGACGACAAGGCATAATTTTACACGAAATGGCTGCCGTTTACAATCCATTCCCGTCTCAGTTTTTAGTGAACCTAGTCCCTGATTAGGATTCACCTCTGTTCCTCGGCGCGAGCTGCTCAGATTCCTGATAGCCAGCGTTGCTATACTGGACGATGGCGTGCGTGTATGCGGTGTTCCTTCCGAGCTAAACCGATACAGGTCGCAGGGGCTGTTCGACAGGCGAGGAGCCTGAAGCGCCGACCACTACACCGTTGAATCTCCTTTGGTTTGTGTTGCACTTCTAGTGCAGTGCAGGTTCGTAAACCATCAAATAGATGACGGATAATTTGGGGGGGGGGGCGACGACTAAAGACGTCCTTCCTCAACGATCCTATCATGCTTATACGACAAAAGAAACGTGCCGGGAAATAGCTAAAAAGAGGCTAAAATTATCTTAGTAGATTGGTTTTCCAGCTAAAAGACGAAATATTCCACATGGCGATAGCTTTAATTAACCCTATTAGTGGCAGGCTCCTGGCTACCCCTATTAGTGGCAGGGGGGGGGGCTGTTTACGACCCCCCCCCCCTTGATATCTCGAGATCTAACGGGCCGATTTTCAAAATTCAAACGGCATTCGATTTCGCTTAACGTGATCTACATTTCTAAAAAATAAAAATTAAAAAATGTCAATAGGGGGGTAGAGGGGGGTAAAAACGGGCAAATTGCAGATACATTTTAGACTGTTTATCACGGCCAGGTTTCTGAACCAATCTTAACGCAACTTTTGCCGATCGATAGAGAATGAACCAGGAATTCACATGGATCCTAAAAATATGCATTTTCAAAAATCATAGGCGGATACAGATCATTGAGATTGGGGGTACACAAAAAATATAGTAAATAAGGTTTTTGTTGGTACTGTTTCTAAAAAGGGTGGTAATGGTCTTGTTATGTTACAATTTTCTTATGATAGAATTGGACTACAATTGTATTGGTCATGCATAGGCGGTGTCAGGGCACCTATGTTGGGAGGTAAAACATAACCCCCCTTTTTGGACGCCTGGATCCGCCTATTATAGCAAAAACGTGTCAAAAGAGGATGCGCAATAACTTTGTAGATGTTATCACATGATACCTTTCATTCACTGTTCGTAAAACTGGTGCATACAGTTATAATACATCAGCATCGTGATCTTCGCCCAAATGACTCGCTTCACGAATAGGACCCCCAATTCCCAGTGCTCTGGAGCCGCCCCTGGTAAAGTTATGAACTTGAAATTTTCAGGGAATGTGCCCAATTTAGGTTTAGGAAAAGTCAGCAAATTTCAGCATCGTAGCTTCAGCGGTTTTGGAGATATTCCCGAAAAACCTGAGGGGTGGATGACAACAACCCCCCCTCCCTGCCACTAATAGGGTTAATGTCAGACCCTGCTTGTCCAAATAACCTAATAAGGAGTAAGTTTCTAAACAAGTGGAAATCCCTGACGAACATACCATATTCTGAAAATGGGTAAAAGATATAGAGGATTCTTCATGGCTCCGAGTGGAAGATAAGGATATCTTTTCCAAGCGGGTTACTGAAAAACCGAGCGACGAAGGAGCGAGGTTTTTCTGTAACACGCGAGGAAAAGATATCCGATCTTCCACGAGTGAGCCATGAGGAATCCTATATCTTTCTATGTTGAGGTTTATTCTTAATTAATTAAATATTATGTTTAAATGTACCTATTCATCTTTGTAAAAATAGATTTAGAGCAGTTTATTTTTATTTCATAAGTTTCATACATAAACAGCCATTAAAATGTTGTTCGGTTATTGACCCACCATCACTTGAACTCTTGATTTTTGGCTATGAACCCTCGAGACCTTATCTTTGCATCTCAGAGGGATGCAGTGATAACAAATCTATACTACTATTTGAGGAGGGTGCGTCTGTCCGTTACCGAGGTCCCGACTTGGTGGTGCTTTGCGTGAACTGCAGGCCAGACCGTTGCACCTAGCCCGGTGAAATTTGCACAACTCATAGATCAAGGATGCGCGACGTGCCTTTGAGGGGTCTTAGCTCGATCGGATTGATAGGGAGCGCGTGGCGCGTGCTCAAAAAGTGCAAATTCGCGTCATAGACTTTACATGTATAAATCGGCGTGCGAAATCGGACGAAAACGGCTAATTTTGGCCGACACGAGTCCAGTTCCCGTGCAATATATTGGTGACCAGGGTTCCGACCGGCACGGGGAAAACAGCATCGTGTACAGAATTGAACGGGCTATTGAATGGTGTGCAATGCAGAGGATAGCACGCGCCACGTGCACCGGAGAGGGCACTTTTATTTGAAAAATTGCGGTTCTTGAGGGATTTTGGAATTAATTTTATTTTTAGGTGACCGTTTAATGGAGCGAGTTGAATCAACGCCTATTTGCAAGAGAAAGGTACCGCCTCTCATATAAAAATTGTGAAAAGCTGATTGATCCAAATCAAGGTGGTGCAAATCACAGGAGAAAATGGTGTTTGTCAATTTTGTGCTCCGTGGCGGGCCGACGCTGTGCGCTCAGAACGATTCTGAGGGGTTAAAGGACGGCCATAACTCGGCCGCTACTGGGCCGATTTGAATGAAAATTGATTCATTATGCTGCGCGTAATGCTGTCCCTCTAGTTGTTTCTAAAAAATGATTTGAGGCTTTAGTGTCTCACCTAATCTAGCCACTTGTGTGGTACTTTTGAACATGTGAAATAGGCACCGAAATTTTACGAGATGGTAAAAAGGATTACAATTGTGAGTTAATGCCTAATCACGTGCCTTTTAAACAAGTGTCAATTTTACACAATTGAGCGATTTGCCGGCCTGCTAAATAGAAATAATAATAATTTTTGGCAACATCAAACCAATCTAATGATATTTCTTTTTGTGAGACGTACTTATTCCTTTGAAACGCAGAACTCTATTGAGTTCTGCCTATTAGTGTCGTGCCTGTGGGAAATGGTGTTTCAACGCCAGTCATCGCTCCTTACAACTTGACACCGTGGGCACGCGCTGTTGGCAAGACTAACCGCACGGGCGGGCCTGCGTGCCCCGCGGTGTCCGAGCGCCGAAACTGACGGCAAGAGGCCGACTTAGTGGCGCTCTGAGTGAGCAATAGTGTCTGGTACCCTCCGCCGAATCGTGCCAACGGTACGCCAACCTCGCCCTACGAGCGCGCGCAGTGCCGCGATCCCGCTGGTGCCACACGTTAGAGGGCACTGGCCGCGAGACGCGCCGTGTGTTTGGTCGCTGGTGGTTGACTGTCGATGGAATGGAGTGTCGATGGAATGGAGTCGTGCGTGGAGACGTGCTCGTCGGTCGGTCGGAGGATGGGCGCGGCTCATCCCGGCCGTACAGACGAGCTGGAGATGGTTTGCCGAGTGTTAAAAACGATGCTGACGGTCAATGGGAAGAGACGAGTTCGGAATATCCCCGTGGGCACGCATCTCCCAACTTCGTGCCCCTACCGCGCGTGAACTGCTTATGCGGCCTCCATGGCTGCCTCCCAGTGTTTGTGGTCAGAAGATCGGAGACCGGCTTTATGAAACTGCTTTGGATATTGCTGTGCTTTGGATCTCTTCAAGCTGCGGAGAACTGGACTGGACTCTGTCCCGACTCCTACGCAGTGGCGCTCTGCCGTTTGACTCTACGGACTGACTGACGAATCGCTGAGCGAGTGGCCGCCCGTGGCCGCTCGGGCGCGCTACTGTGTGTCGATAAATAGCAGGCTGCGTTCCCAACGGAAACTTTCCGCTGAAACAGAGCTCTGCTTGTTATCGGCACGTATTTGTGTGTGTCACTGGACACTACCTATACGTGCTATAAGTGTTTTCTCTTACATCAGACAGTTTCAGCAAGATTCTGTACAGAATCTCTACCCCTGGCAGGTCCCTCGGGACGCACCCAGGTGGTCAAACCCCACTCGAGTGCCCCGTCGCAGTGGGCGTGTTCCCCACCTCCTGGACGGGTGGACACTGGCCCGCTCGGCGCCGTGACTACCCGTGCCACGGCGGCGCTCCGCCGTCCGCCAGGCGGAGGGCGGTGCGCCGGGGCCGGCCCCGTGCCGCCCGGTCCTCCACGGAGGCAGCTCGACCTCCTGGGGCCGAGGACGCACCGCGGCGTCCCGGGTCTGAGCGCTGGCTCCGCGCCCGCCGCGCCTCGGAGTGTGCCTGTGGCCGCTGACGGTGTTGCGGCCGGCCAGGTCGTGGCGGGCCCGATGTGTTCTCGCAGCTGGGCCCCGTGCCGGGCGGCGGATCCAACGAGACGCTCAACATGGCCACCCAGCTGGTGTCGGCGCTGTTGGAGAACCAGCGGCAGCGCGCGCCGCAGCCGTTCGGACCGCCGGGCCCGGCACCGGCTCCGTTCGGCGCGGCCGGCGGCGGGTACGGGGGCCGCGGCGGCGCTGGATATCGCAGCGGCAGGAGCAGCTTTGACGGCGGCCGCGCCGCAGACTTCGGCCACCGGGCCGACTATAACGCCAAGGTAACTGTCTACACACCCCGCCCGACGCGCTGCTCCCCACCCGACCCGTACCTGACCACTGTACTCTGTGCGAGGACCGATCGGCCGCCGGCCGGGTCCCGCCGTTCCTGACGGCCAGCGGGGACCCGGGTCTCTGGGAGGGTTTCCGCGAGAGAGGCTGACCTAGCCACGACCGGCCACCTCCGGACTGGCTAGTGTCTTCTGGCCAACTAATTCCCAATGGAGGGAGTATATGCGCACTGGTCCCCCAAGTCCCC